TTAACTGTTTTTTAATGAATAAATCGATAGAATATCTACCCAACTCACTTTAATTTCCCAATTTCGGAGTGATTTTTGAAACGCCTAGAATGAAGCAACAGAAGCTGAGGTGTACATCTTCTTTAGTAGAGTTGAATGAACTTTCTTCAGCCCATACTTCACATCCATATATAAGAATTGGTCTTATTAATTTATCAAACAATGATAACAATAATGAGGGACTGAGGCTTTCATTATGACCTAATTTGGCTTTCAAAGAGAATAATGCTTTCATTCCTTTGTATTTCAGATGTTTCATAGCCGCTTTAAATTTTCCATTAGGGCTAATTTCTCACGATGTTAATCTCATTCCCTTCAAAAAAGAATAAATCACTGTCATAGAGTTTATTATTTTTATTAAAACCATAATTTTTGTTTTTTCTGTGTTCACAGCGAGTTTCCATTTCTGTGTGTATTTTGATACATTATCAAGGGCATTCTGGAGGCCACTTTTGGATTTAGAAAAAATAACTATATCATCTGCATACATTAGACAGCTGATTGGTGTGTTATTTAAATTTGGTGGATCACATGATTCATGGTCCAGGGTATTAGTTATGTTATTAATAAAAATGTTGAAGAGTGAAGGGCTCAGATTACACCCTTGCTTACATGTAACACCCAGTGTTGAATTAAATTGATTGGTTAGACCATCTTTCATTTTTATTTTATATTTTATATTACTGTACATACTTTTAATAAATTGATACATTTTACCTGTCACCCCATTGTTTAATAGTTTCCAGAATAGACCATCATGCCAAACACTATCAAAAGCCTTTTTCAGGTCTACAAAACAGGCATAAATTTTGCTTGTTTGCTTTAGCTTCTTTTTTTTTCATTCACTGTATTTTCATGCTGATTGTTGTTAGTGTGTTTTTCAATAATAGTTTTCAATATAAATAGGTTGTCAGTTGTACGACGACCTTTTCTGAAACCAAACTGTTGGTGGGACAAAATCAAAATGTTATTTTTCTCAATAAAAGTGGTTAGCCTTGTATTAAGGATACTTGTAAATAGTTTGCCAAGGCAACTGGAGATTGCTATTCCCCTGTAGTTTGAAGGATTTAATTTAGATCGTGCTTTATGTATGGGTATTATTAAACTTG